GAAAACACACACACACACACACACATAGAAACACACACACATGGATACAAACACACACACACACACACACATAGAAACACACATACACACACATAGAAACACACACACACACAGGAACGCACACTTACATAGAAAAACACACACACACACATGGATACAAACACACACACACACACATAGAAACACACACACACACACACACACACACACATAGAAACACACACACACATACACACACATAGAAACACACACACATGGATACAAACACACACACACACACACATAGAAACACACACACATGGATACAAACACACACATACACACACATAGAAACACACACACACAGACACATAGAAACACACACACACATAGAAACACACACACAGACACACACACACACATAGAAACACACATACACACACATAGAAACACACACACACAGGACACATAGAAACACACACACACACATAGAAACACACATACACACACATAGAAACACACACGCCAGTAAGTACAGCCTCCTGAACACTGGCAGGTACCCCCCCCCCCCCTCCCCCCCTCCAAGGCTTTTCAGATTCTGACATTTTCCATTTAATCTGAGGCGGGAGGTAAAGGGCACGTCGGAGAACAGGTGGAGACGGGTTATGATATAACGTCTGTAGTTAGACGGGATTAATGTCCCTGCCGCTCTACCAGCTTCACCTTTCACCTCTCAATTGAAAGGTTTGATAATAAAAGGTGGGCTGAGAGGAAACGGGTCAGGAACTCATGCAAATTAATGCTGGACCCGCCGAACCGCGCTGCGTCATGACTCTGCTGCGTCTGAGAAGCGATGCGGGTTCTGATGACGACCCCCCCCCCCCTTCCCAGATCAAAGGCAGTGCCATACCAACCTCTCACTGACAACTCAGGAGGAGAATGGAAACTAACAGTGTTGTGACAGTCTGGTGTGTGTGTGTGTGTGTGTGTGTGTGTGTGTGTGTGTGTGTGTGTGTGTGTGTGTGTGTGTGTGTGTGTGTGTGTGTGTGTGTGTGTGTGTGTGAGACTCACATCCTGGGTGCCCATGTCCCAGTAGGGTCTCTCTCCATAGTAGGACATGACCTCCCACATGACGATGCCAAAGCTCCAGACGTCTGAGGCGGAAGAAAAGCGGCGGGTACTGGATGGCCTCTGGAGCGGTCCACAGAACCCACACTCTTCCCTCCGTGCTGCAGGACAGGGACAGGGTGGGGGGTGGGCGGGGACAGTATAGGATAGGATAGAATGGGTCAGGGACGGGACAGGACAGGATAGGACAGGGCGGGGCGGGGCGGGGTGGGGGTGGGGCGGACAGGACAGGGTGGGGCGGGGCGGGACAGGACAGGACAGGGGTGGGGGCGGGGCGGGACAGGACAGGACAGGGTGGGCGGGACAGGACAGGGTGGGGCGGGGCGGGACAGGACAGGGTGGGGCAGGGTGGGCGAGGACAGGACAGGGTGGTGGGCAGGGCGGGGGCGGGGCGGGACAAAGGACGAGTTAAAGGCTGAAGGCTCTATTTGAAGAAAACATCCAGGTGGTCCTACCAGAGTGCTGTAGATGGTCTCAATCTTGTCCTCTTGAAGAGGTCTGAAACCCGACACCTTACAGCCCAGGTTGGAGTTCACCAGAACCTGAGACGACGAGAACAACTGGATCAGTACCGCGCCCCGCGTGGAGATCAGGATGGACCAGAAGCTGCAGCTGCCGTCTCACCTTGTGTGCAGCCAAACGTTTGTGGACGAAGCCCATTCTCAGTGAGGTACTTCATCCCTGAGGCTACGCCGGTCAGCAGGTCCATCAGCTGGAGCCCGCTCAGCTGTCCTTCATGTTTCTGAGGGACGAGACCGGCATGAGTCTGGTCCAACAGAACCAGCTGTCCCCAGCAGGGCGGCTCTGCAGGGACCAGACTCAGCAACAGGTTAAGTCCTTAGAAACCTGCTAGCAGCAACTCAGACTGTTTATTTACTTATAGTAATGCATCATCATCATCATCATCATCATCATCGTTGTTGTTGTTGTTTACTGGAACAAACAGGAAATATACCGTACCCTGAGGAAGGAGTCCAAAGGGCCGTTGGACATGCTCTCCATGATGATCATCATGGTGTTTCCTGGAGACACGGAGAATGAGGAGGAGACTCTCTCACACACACACGCACGCTCGCGCACACACACACACACGCACACACACGCACACACGCGGGCTCATTCTGGTTCGTGGTCCCGACCCCCACCTGTGGTGATTGACCCCCTCCAGCCGGAGGATGTTGGCGTGGTCGAACTGTCCCAGCGATTCCAGCCTCACTCAGGAAGGAGCGTACGCTGTTTGTGTCGGAGCATCCGCGCCCTCAGAGTCTTGATGTCTACTGGGAGCTCCCTCTTACTGGGAAGCTTCAGGCAGCCGTCGGCAACACCTCCCCAGAGTCACCTGGGTGGGGGGTAAAACATCAGATGTGCTTCTTCTCTCTAACCTGGACTCTTG